GAAATTGGAAGGACTCATTAAATAAGTTTTAGGATTTTCACTAATAGGTATAGGAATACGCATGGAATATTCGAACATATTATGTTATATTGAATGCTCATCTGCATTGATAAGCATATATCAAAAAATAAGCATATATAGAGAGAGATGTCTCAAATGTATGTACAAAAGTCTAGCTTGCTAGAGTAAGTTGTATCTGCTTAATGGCGTAACTGATGCATAATGCAACGCAGGGCACGACCGAGATATACTACTAAAATGTTTAAAGAAGATGAACACCCGAACTTCGCTGTGATTCAGCCAGCAACCCATCTTGACCAGGGATGCAAAAAAATCGGAATCGTCTGTATCGTAGCCTACAGATACGCGAGCGTGGCTCTCATAAAACCCATAGACTCTACGTTATGCAGAATTTAGTTAAATAAAATGGTCTTCGAATTAATTTATGCAGTTCCATGTAGACCATACGGCAAGACATTTCTGGATGTAAAATAAAGCCACAGGCCAAAGAAGTATATACATTAACATACCACAGAAAAGGCGTTCCCGAGAGTGCAGTTTACAGACTTTTTATTGCAGCAACCAACTGAAAGCCGATCCATTGGGTAGAAAGATGGGCCATCAAGGCCACAACATTCAAGCTTAAAGAGAATAGTAGAAGGCATTGAAAAGTTTGAATGTTTTTTATCCTTCATTCTCAAGCGAAAAATTAGTGATTAAGTTCTATTAAACTTATTTAGTCTAACGTGAAAACTATTTTACCTGGTAAGAGACGATGCATTTGGTGCCTATTGAAAACTCCAGAGCACAATGCATACAATACATTTAAAACCTTTAAATAATGTTGAGCCTATCAAGCTTCCTTAGAAGAACACTTGACTTAGAACTTGGAGTTCCATGTACATTAGTGAGATATCTTCCTCAAACAAAGTGAATCCTCTCTGAGAGAGCGGCAGACGATTTGACCTAAGACCCCTTGGCATCTCATTTAGCGGTCTGGCACAAATGGACTTGGATCTTATTAATGTCATAACACGACACTTTTCAATTTGAACGCTACAATATAATTCGGATGAATTGGCAAAACGTGGGTCTTGAATAATCCTCAAACATGTCCGAAATGCTCCTCAAGGTCTCAAAGGACACTCTTTTACCTGGTAAATTTGAGCGGGTAAGCTTCTTCATCCGAGTTTAATACACCTCTATTTCCTGTTATATTACTTCCATCCAAAATAATATGAGAACATGTTTTCTGCCACCAAGTAAACAGTGAAATTTTGAAACTAAAAAGTCACCACCTGTTTCGTAAATACTCCTTTACTTTTTAGATAACTAGTTCGTCAGTACTCGTCATTATAATGTCGTGTGACAGCGAATAATGTTTGCAACAAGACACGCTGACTCACCTGATTTTCTGTTAGGTAGATCGTCTTTAGGTGCTTTTCCTCCTGTTCTTCGCCTGTGTATATGCTTTCCAGCCACCTTTCCACATGGTCATAGAGCTGAAGTGATTTTGAGATTATTTTAATAGGAAAACCTCTTCTTTAGAACGAAATGTCCTCAACGTTGTGTTTATGAGAAGAATCAATATTACTAGAAGTAAAACTATGTACTATAAGTGCAGAGGTTCTGACAAAATTAATTCTCTTTCACATACGATTACAACCAGGCTAATTTTAGTCTGCTGAAAACCGCAAAATCCAATGACACTCCCAATGCATGCCAAAATGCCCACGACAATAAGGAGGATGGGTATATTACGATACACGTAGAGCTGAGTTCCATCAAGATGTCGTGCCAGCACCATCAGTACTGTGCTCACCGCCATGTAAAGTAAACCAACACACTAAAAAGAAGTAAAGAAATCCAGAAAGTAATCAAAATGGCCGCTGACCGTATGCAGAAGTAATGTAGAAAGGAATAAACTTGAGAAAAAGAAGTTGCAAGTAATGTAAAGTTATTGGCATTAATTGTAAGACGTACCACTAAAGCGCAGTTGACAAAAATGGCCGCCCGACGAAGTAAAACCACGGAGATGCGGTGTTGTGGACTGCACTGAAGGCAGCTCATTCCTATTTTGTGCTGACACTTAACTTTCCAGAGCACTAATCTCGACGTGAGAGCAAAACAGAATTTTATTGATGACAAAAACTCGCATGAGAGCCCTGGTGATGAGTCCTATGACATATGAAAACAATATGGGGTGAACTTCACCTGTGCGCACGCCTTGGCTTTAATGCCCCCATGGGCAGCTGAACCGTGAGAAATGCGTGAGACT